TATGCTAAAGTTCTTAGCCAAAGTTCCGGCTCAGAAGGCCTGCAATCCATCCCCATAGTGAAACTCTACAGTGGTGGCCATGTCAGTCTGCCCTGTTTCCGTGTTAACCATGGCGTGAGACCCATTAGAGTCCATGTTGCAGCAGTCATGCAGACTGCGTGCTGCTGAGAGGGTCCCAGGCCCCGAGTGTTGGCCAGGCATAGTTCGGAAGGGGAGGGGTCGGGGGCTCGGGTACTCAAGTCTTAACGGCAGCTAAAGCCACCACCGTGGGGCCGACAAGGGAACTCAGGAGGAACAGAAGGAGGACAAAGAGGGGAGGAGGCTCCCAACCTGGCTCGAGTTCAGTCCTTCAAGCCAAAGGTGGCTGCTGCCCCCATCTGGCCAACGCTCAGATAGGCCCTGGAGCCAACATCAAAATAAGAGTCCCTTGTTCAAAGCCTGACAGGAAGAGGTGGTGAGCCCGGGGCAGGATCTCCTAGGGACAGCAGTCTGAGAGCCACCATCACCACCAAGGACTAGGGGGAATCCTGCAGGTGCCACGGGGAAGGCGGAACATTGCTGTATTCATCCCTATGCTGGATTCCCAGTAATCCTTTTGTCCTGCCCTTCTATCATCTGTGTCCTCCATGTTTTGGATTCTGTTCAAAAGGCATTATGGGCTGGGTTGGTTTCTGCCCCTATAACTGAGCCTGGACCCCATAGAGAAAAGAGATACTCCAATTCCTGACCATTTCTACTGCCCAGCAATATTCCATGACTATTCCCTAAATACTATTCACAGCTTTTATCCCAAACCTTCTTTTCTTAAGCTATCTTTACCACCCCCATCCCTCTCCAGCTCAGCAGAGCAAATAAATTGTCAGAAGCTCTCTTCACACGTGGGCACTCAAATCCTCTCAAGTTCTTTATCCCATTTTCTTCTTTCCTCCAATCCTGAAGAAGTCATCCTTATCAAGGCCAGTGCCATTCTGTGCCCTTGACCAATGCCATCCCTTCCAATAACTTGATCTGTCAATCATCTCCCCTCCCTAATTCTCAACTTCATAGTCTCTTCATCTTCAAGAAAGTTTCCTTTGCCTACAAACATGACCAGACCTCACATATTCTTTTAAAAAAAAAAAGCCTTTCACATTACCATTCCATCAAATTGCATCCAATATCTTTCCTCATAGCCAAATCCCTAGAAAATGCCATCTTTCTTGATTTCTCTGTACTAATTTCTACCTTCCCTTGGTTATGATACTTCTGTCTCTGGGTTCTCCTCCCACCTGTCAGACCATTCCTTTGCAGGATCTTTACCCGCGTCTAGACTCAGCCCACTGCTGTAGCCCAGGGTTCTGTCCTTGGCTCTCCTCTCAATACACTGAGATCTCATCTACTCCCATGGGTTTAGCCTGTCTCTATGCAAATGAATCCTACATCAAGCCCTTATCTCTCTCCTGACCTGTGACCCCACATCACCATCTCTACCTGAAAGTCTCATAGGTATCTCAGATCTGAGGGGATGAAAATAGAATTTATTATCTGTCCCCTAAATCCTTCCTCCTAACTTCTTTATGTTCCAAATAGGCTTCCACCTTCCTTTCACTCAAGTTCACTCACTCAGACTTACTTAGAACATAAGCACTTTGAGCTCAGGGATGCTTTCTTTTGCCTTTTGTACAAGCACAGTGCTTGGCACCTGTTAGGCCTTTAATAAATGCTTATGAAGAATCACTTTTTATACCCAGTTGCCAAGCCCTGTTTATTCTCCTCACACATCTGCCTAGTCCTCTTCACTCCCATAACCAGCACCCTACTTCTGATCTTCCTCATCCCTCACTTAAGACTCCCTTCACTGTCTCTCCCTATCTCCAATCCATCCTCCACACAGCTACAGAATTGATATTCCCAAAGAACAGGTTTGACCGTGTCACTCTCCAGCTTCCCTTGTTGCTATAATAAATAGACTTCTCCATTCAGTATTTAGAGCCTTTCATAATCTAACTCCAACCTATCTTTCCAGATGCTCCCCCTCTTGTATTCTACATTCCAGTCAAATGACCCTCTTGCTGCTCATCTCCTGTCTCCACCCTTGGACACAGATTGTCTTCTCCATTGCTGGAATGCACTTCCTCCTCCCTTCTTCCTCATAGAATCCCTAGGTACCTTCCAAAATAACTAAGGTCCCCTCTTCTATAGGAGGCCTTCCCTAATCTTCCCATTGTTAGGGCTCTCCCTCCCTCACATTACATATATTCACTCTGTTTTGTACATGTTTTCTCCCAGTAGAATGTAAGCTTCAAGGCAGGGACTGTTTTTCATTTTTTTTATTTCCTGAGCCTGGCACAGAGTAGGCACTCAAAAGCTGCTTGTTAAATTGAAATACCTAACCTCAGAGGTCCTAGATAATGAAAATTATCTTTTCTCATTCTCCCTTTCTGCCTTACAATCCTAAACTTGTTTTTTTTTTCCTTACTGTTACCTCCAATCCTTCCACCCCTCAGTTTTCTTTCCCAGGCCATTGTGCAGCCAGCACGGGCTACATCCTCCTCCCTTCTCATCTTGATCCACTGGTGAACTATTTCACCTCTGTACACTATACTCTTCATTTCCTTGCCCCCTTAGCCCACCAAAGATCTTGCCCTGCCAGGCTGGAGCCTCGGATTTCTGCTATGCAGCCTTTACTTCTAATTCACCTACTGGCGAACAAGATGGAAAATATCATGAAACCGTTCTGACTAGGTCCACCACGAATCACATAACTTCGACTGGGCCATCACTGCAGCAAGACAACCTTTTTACATCTCCTAATCAATTCACTATCCTACACACTACAGCAACTATTAAAACATTTTCTCTTTAAACCTCCAGCCCCCCCACCCTCTCAGCTGAGAATCTTGCTTCATATCACTGGAAAAAACTGAAGCCATCCCCAAAGAGCTCCTCTTCTCTCTTCCTCAATGGCATATACCTTCTGGAACTATCTGATCCTTTACACTTGTCTCAGTTGAAGATGTAGCCCTTCTTGTGCCACGGCAAACTCCCCTATATTCCGTAGTGATCTCATTCCATCCTCCCCAGAAGATTGTCCCCTCTATTAAACTCCTTGAGCTGCCATCTATAATCAGTGCCTCTGGCCCATCTGCAGTCATCCTGATCTATATCTAGCTACTGGATCCAGATGGCTCAGGAGGAGAAAGTGAGGCTGGTGACTTTGCACAGCCCTGCCTCACTTAATTGCAATTGATGTCCAAGTCATGGCAAAATCTTCCCGATGTCATGGTCCTCTTTGAGAATAAAGGACAAGCCACACACAATCAGGTACCTCTGCTTCCTTTCCTGTCACTCTACAGACTGGCTTCTGACCTCAACCAAAACTGGTCTTTCCAAATTACTAATGGCATCTTAATTGCCAAATCTCATGGTCTTCTCAGGCCTGATCCTTTGCAACATCTCTGCAGCCTTCGACAGTATAGTGCATCTGCTTCTTGGTAAGTCTCTTACCTATCGGTTTTCATGACACTGTTCTCTCCTTGTTCTCCTCCTACCTATATGACTGTTCCTTTTTAGTCTTTGCTGTATCTTCATCCAGGTCATAGCTGGATGTGCCCTGAGGCTCTGTCATGGGCCCTCTTATCTTCTATCCTACTCCCAAGGATTCAATTACCTCTATAAAAATGGTTCTCTGGGGTAGGTAGGTGGCACAGTGGATAGAGCTCTGGCCTTAAAGTCAGGAGGACATGAGTTCAAATCCAGTCTAAGACACATGATACTAGCTGTGTGACCCTGGGCAAGTCGCTTAACCCCGACTGCCTCACCAAAAAAAAAAAAAAAAAAGGTTCTCAGCATCTATCCAGCTCTAATCTGTCTCCTGACCTCCAGTTTCCTATCTCCAACTGCCTACTGGGGATCTTGAACTAGATCTCATAGACATGTCTGAAAGTTAACTCTCTTCCTAATTCTCCTGTTTCTGTCAAGGCCACCATTATCCTCCCAGTCACCCACCATTCTATATACCCCTGACACAACTGCTACCCTGGCACTAGCCCTGGTTACCTCACACCTGGACTAGTCGAATAGCCTGCTTCATCTCCCTGCCTTGCATCTCTCTACTTTAGTCTACCAAGCTGTCAAATTCACGATCCTAAATATAGATCTGACCACGTCACTCCCCTAGTCAAATGGCTGTCCCCTCCAGCATCAAAGTTCTTACACCTTATATTTCTCCACATAGTCTATAATCCAGTAACTCTGGCCTCTTCCCATTTCACCCCCTAACTGTACATTTTTACTTGTCTGTCTCTCATGCCTCGACTGCCCTCTCTCCTCACCTCTGCTTCTTCATCTGCAATAAGCTTTTCAGTCATTAATGTTAGCACCTTCCCTAAGATTTTTACATATTCCCTATGAGATGTGTACAGTTATTTGCATGTCATCTCCCCCCATTAGATTAGGAGGTTCTTGAGGGCAGGCACTGTTTTTGCCTTTCTTGTCATACTTTTCTTCAGTCATTTTTCAGTTGAGTCCAACTCTTCATGACCCCATTTGGGGTTTTCTTGGCAAAGATACCGGCATGGTTTGCCATCTCCCTCTAGCTCATTTTACAGATGAGGAAACTGAGGCAAATAGGTTTAAGTGACTTGCCCAGGGCCACACAGCTAGTAAGTATCTGAGGCCAGATTTGAACTTAGGAAGATGAGTCTTCTGACTCCAAGCCTGACGCTTCATCCAGTACCACCTAGATGCCTCTGGCATATACTAGGTGATTAATAAATAGCTTGATTTAACCCACTGAGGGCCACAAAGCTGTGGAGTCCAGCAACAGAGCCTCTGACTCTTGTACATTTTCAAATTCCTAGCTTCAAGCTATGAGAAGACAGTAGGGCAAGTGTCCACCCCAAATCCCAGAGAGAGGGTAATAAGGGAAAGAAACAAGATTTGGGGTGATGGTGGGGAGCACAGATTGTGAGGAGAGGGATTATAAACAAACCTATGGCTGCACAGAAGTTATACATGAATACTGAACATTACAAAACAAAAACTTTATTTACATGTAAATTTTCATGCCTCCAAGGCTAGGACCAAGTAGGGGGAGAGGGCTGACATATTTATCAATAAATACCTGAAGAAACAGGAAGGGGGGTCCTAGATAAAAGAGCCATAGAAAGACAGGAAGTGACAGGACTCCCTATGGCTCCTAAAGCCTTCCTCAGCTTGAGACCAGGTCTGCCCTGTGATCCAATCCAAGCAACCTCTTAATATAGCACACATGCTTTAAGAAGAGTCACTGGCCAGACTACAGGCAAGACTCACCAATCTTGATGCTGACAGAAGAAAGGCTAAGGGTTCCTGGCTAGCTTGGGAGGGGGTGGGGGAAGGCAGGGAACAGAACAGGTCACCAAGGTGCTGCTCACTCTCCCAGCCTTCCAAGAAGACCAGACACTAGCAAACAGATCAAGATGGATGCAGAACCATCTATGCCACAACATGCCCTAGGACAGGCTGCCCAAGGGAAACCTAAGTCCAGAAAAGAGAAAGTGATGAGCACCAGGATGTATTGGTTGAGGGGAGGGAGGTTACAGGTTACAATCCAGTAGAAGTCAGGGAGAGCAGTAGAGACACAGCCCAGCTATCTCCACTCTACCCATAGTCCCACCTGGGGACAGGAAGTTAGAACCAGCCAGCGGGGTCTCCTGCCCCAGCTCTGGCTGTACAGGGAATGGACCCTGGCCACAGAATGGCAGGAGAGCTCTTCATGCTATCCAAGGAAGCCAGGGCTACACAATGAGAAACAACTCACCCAGCATGAGCCCAGGAGAAAAGGCACAAAAGGGAGAGCCAGTGAAAGTTTCCCCAGAGTGATTGGGTCCTAGAATAAGGGAAGACCCTGCCCTTGGACAAAACAATCAGTCCTCCCTGCACTAGAGCCAGGTTGGATGTCAGCCATTCCATGGGATATACAGTACGACTGGAGCCCCAAGACCTCTCCCCCAGGGCCACAGAATACATAGCCCAACCTGACAGGCAGAGAGGCTAGGGTTTAAGGCATGGGGGCATTCTCCAAGGAGATATAAAGTCAGAGGTCAGATGGCCCCAGGGTACGGGCCTCCTCCTTCCCCTCAATGCCAATGTTCAGACAGCAGCTCCTCTTCACAGCACTGAAAACGTGGCTGGAGGCAAAGGCCGCAGGAAGTCACTGGATGGGCTGAGGGGTCCACAAGTCAGTTCCCATTGCTCAAGCCTGAGCTGGCACTGCTGCAACTCTGTTCATAGGAGGGGGGTGCCTCTGCTCCAGAAAGAGATGGAAGGTGGTAAGGATCATGCACAAGACTCTGTCCTCCCCCACTACTCAGCCCAAGGGCCCCAAATAAGGTCCCTGGCCGCACCCAGCCTTGGTCCACTCACCATAAGGGTAGCCCCATGTGCTATACTCTGGTGGCAAGATCAGGTCACTGGCTGTAGGCATAGGCACCACAGGGCCTTCAGCAAAGTAGGGAATGGTGGCACCAGTGGACAAGCAAAGGGGAGGCCGGCTGGGGACAGGTGAACCATCCCCAGGGCCAGGCTCAGCCTCAGGCCGGGTCTCACGAAAGCTCAGGCCAGGTGTGTAGCTGAAAGGCTGTGTTGACTGTTGCTGCTGCTGCTGTGAGTGGCTCTTGGTAGGGAGGGAGACGCTGACCATAGGAGAAGGCCCACAGGCTGCCATGTCCATGTCCTCAGGTGGCGCAGTAGGCACCAAGGGGGGTGGGAGCCCAGACAGGGACAGTGCAGGACTCAATGGAGGGCAATTCACTGCAATGTTGCCAATGAAAAGGGGCAGATTCACTGTTGCTTCAGGTGCCTTCAGTGAGACCTGGGGGTACAGGATAGGGGACATGAGGGTAAGATTGTCATATACCTGGATAACCCAGGTCCTCTGAGCTCCAAGGCTCCCAAGCCTTCTGACAGAGCTACCCACCCATTCCTTAGCCTCAAACTGTACATCACTGAGAAATTAAAGCCTGTGCTATAAAACCTTGCTCTCCTAGGCCACCACTGCTCAGGTACTCCCATAGCCCCAGCCCTAGCCCCCACAGGTCAGGGAGGGACCCAGAAATTAAAATATCCCATCACGGATACCACATACACTCCTCTCCCAGGATCAGAGTGCCATCTAGGGACAAATGCCTGTGGGTCCTCAGCTAAGAAAGACAGGACCCTGAAAAGACGAAGGGACCAGGGCTATTTGGGGGGAAGTGGGAAGAGAAAGGAAAACTTGACCCCAGAAGACACAGGGACTCGAGAAAGAGAGATTTCCTGGGGATCAGGGCTCCACACCTGGATGAAGTAGTCTATGTGGATGAGATTACAGCCGGGCAGCACCGACTGTGGTAGGGCTGGCACCAAGATCTGCTCCCGCCACTGAGCGGTCTTCCAGGCCTTCACCCCTGAGCCTTCAACCTCTGCGATTGTCCGAAGATCATAGATCCAGCGCTTGGCCTTGTAGGATACTTTCTGGGAGACAAGGGAGAATAGCAATGAAGGATCACAAGAACTCCATGGTTGGGCAAAGGCGAAGGACTCAATCATGTCTCCTATACCCCTTAGTCTCAGTTTCCTCTTGTTTGACATGGGCATGAATGTCTCCCCTTCACTGAAGGCCCTGGCAGCAGAGCTATCACCAAGGAGTAGCCCCACGCACCCCACTGCCTGGGCTGCTCTTGTCCAAGACCTCGGGGGCCTGGGTTTATACAGCTGGACGGATAAGGACATGGGCATGGAAAGATGCACACCCCTGGGATCAAGATACTGGTAGGGGAGGAGAAACTGGGCATGCATGCCAGCTGCTGACCTGGAGAAGGCTGGCCACCACGGGTCCTGTGTCCTTGCCAGACTGGTTCTCAATATCTGCATGGAGCTGGATCACCTGACCCACAACGTAGCCCCTGAGGTCAGTGCTTGCAGTGAGGATAACACTCCCACTCTTCACCAACTTGTAAGAGAACTTCTTGGTAGTCGTAGCCTCATTGGGTTGCTGTTGCGTGAAAGCAAGGCTGAGGTTATGCCAAGGACAAGAGCTCTGGGAATAGTCTGACCACAGGCTCTCAGATCCCTTAGTCCAAGCCAATCCCCAATGACTGGCCTCACCTCCCTGACCACACCTCAGTCCCAGTCATGGTCACTAACCCATTATAGCCCCAGAATCCCAAGCCCTTCTGCCTCCCACCTCCCATGGCCACACCTCGATGTCTGGGAGGCTGTTGAGATTCAAGGGACTTAGGATGTAGAAGATACGGCTGCATTTGTGGTCCTTGGAGAAGCGAGGGGTGTCAATCACAGCCCGCAACTGGTGCACAATCTTCCCAAAGGGCCCCTCGAAGGATGTGGGTGCTGTGGCTGGGGCAGAGAATGGAGGAAAAGGGAATAAGCACAGGGTAGACCACAGTATCTTGTGGGATGGGGCAGGCTAGAGCTGGGCAGAGCATGAAAACAAGCTTCAAGGAACCAAACCATTAAACCCAGAAGGGGTGGGCACAACAAGATCGGGGACTATAGAGGACAAGGAGAGGACATGGGTCACATGGCCAGACTGAAATACTCCTCTCCTACCCAATCCCTCCCCTCCAAATAATCCCTATAGGTTCCCCTGCCAAAGACCTTCTCACATGTATCTGTGTAAGTATACATGCATGTACTCTGGATGTGTCCAGGGGGTTCTCTGACCAGACACAGAAGAATGGTCAGGTGAACAAAGCCACCCCCAGAAGAGACAGGGATGAGGTCAGGCCTGGCTCTTACTTGGTAACAGGAACTGGAAGGGGAAGACATGTTCTCCAGGAGACAAGGTTCCTGCAGAATCAAAGCAGTTGGTGAGAAGGGAAGACTAGTCATGGGGGCCCAGATGCTAAGGCTGATTGCCAAGTCCCCTCTCTGGGATCAGTTGGAGCTGAACACCAAACACTGGTCAGCAGAAAAACTACTGTTCCCTGTTTTTCTTCTGCCACATTTGAGGAGAGGAACCTATAGCTAAGATTGTGTAGAACCTGGTCTGAGAATCCCCCATTCTTAGGATCTGGTGTGGACCTCTGGGGAGATCTGGCATAGAAACTCCTCCCCTCTACTGATGCAGAATAGTAATTCATCTATAACAGCCTTAGAATGATTCCTGGGAAGATGAGAAGTTAAGGAATTTGTCCTTGGTCATACAGCTAATCTGTCTCAGAGGCAGGGCTTGAATCCAGTGCCTGATGGACTCCAATGCTGGCTCTCATGGCTATACCATGCCATTTCACACTCACACGGGAACAACTGCACAAAGACGTTCCTTGGGAAGCTCTACCCTTGATGGGTAAGGAAAAGGGCTCTCAATGGAGAACAGGCATGTGTGTCAGCATCAAAGGGCAATGCATGGCGTCCTAGAAAGCCTCATTCCCAGCAAAAGAATGGATCTGGTTCTCCCCCAGATACTGCATGAAGGGAACAAAGCCCTCAGCTGGAAGCCAGGAAACCTGGGATGCAAACCTAAGTTGCCATGTGATTCAGAGCAAATTCCAGAATCATAAATTTCAAAGTACATCAAATCCAACCAGTACCTTAGCAGGAATTCCCTCTGTAATATCCCTGAGAAGAGGTTATCCAAGCTCCACTTGAAGACCAATCATGAGGAACTCTAAAACCGCTCTAATCAATGAAGTTTTTTCTTACTTCAAGCTGACATAACCATGACATTGACCATCCTTCCACCCCATCCAAGGACTCCTGGGTTAATTCTTTAGATCGGTCCCAGCTTACCTTTGTCAGCCAGGGACAACGTGCTGTTGAAGTATGCTTCTTCTACTGTCCATGAAGTATCATTGGCCTTGCTGGACACTCCACAGGACCCTGTGCAGGTCACCCTGATGGCTAAAATACCACCCATACTCATAAGCTGATCAAGGAAACCATTATACCTACCAGAAATCCCTGCAACATCTCTAGCCTTTTCCCATATATATATATATATGTGTATATATATATATATATATGTGTGTGTATATATATATGTATATGTATATATATATGTATATGTATATGTATGTATGTATTTATGTATATAGAGAAAGTAAGTTTTTAAATTAATTTTTAGTTTAACAATCACCTCCATAAGCTTTTGAGTTTTAAATTCTCCCTCTCCCTCCCTGCCTCCCTCCCCAACAGAATATACAATCTGATATAGGCTGTACATATACATTCCTATTAAACATATTTTCATATTAGTCATGTTATAAAGAAGAATTAGAAACAGGAAGAACCACAAGAAACAAAAACAGAAGAAAAGAGCAATCTGCATTCAAACTCCATAGTTCTTTCTCTGAATGTGGATGGCATTTTCCATCACGAACCCTTTGGAGATGACTTAGATCCTTGCATTGCTGAGAAGTGCTAAGTCTAACAAAGTTAGTCATCATACAACGTGGCTATTACTGTGTACCACATTCCCTTGGTTCTGCTCACTTCACTCAGCATCAGTCCATACAAGTTCTAGCCTCTTCCTGAAAAGCTAAGATTTAGTGTTCCAGAGACTGTCTGGAATCCTGGGGCAGGATAAAGAATCTCACCACCAGGGCTGCCCCTTCATTCTAAGTTTACCTGTTTCATCTCTTTCCTGGCCATGCTCCACTACAAGAAGTCCCCTAGAGGGCAAGGCCCTGGTCACCTCCAGCCCTCCATGTATCCAGGAGGAAAAAGGCAGGTTAGAGTCAGCTTGCCCTTAGCCTTGAAAGTCTGAGGCTTCCATATACAGGTGGCCCCTTGTCCTGTCCCATTGCATCCCATGCCTAGGGTGAGCATTAAGCCAGAAAATCCCCCTCAGAGTACCTCCTGATGATGCCTGACTTTCATTAGGATAGCCCTTAGAGCTGGGATTCTCAACTTTAGTCATGGTCTCCTTTAGCAGTCTAGTGTAGCCTATGGGGACCCCTTCTCAGAATGTTGCCTATATTCATAATTGGAAGAAAACCTAAATTTCAGTCAGGGTTTAATACAAGGTAACATGTAACTTTTTTCCCCCATCCAAATTTATGGACCCCCCTGAGATCTATTCAATGGAAGCTATGTTAAGAATCCTTGCCTTAGAAAAGTGAGGGCTAAAGAAATTTCAAGGGCTCAGAATGTATCTCACAAAGGTTTGTTAGTGAGGGTGAAGAGACACATCTTGGCTGGGAGGAGAAAGGGTTAGAGCCCAGGTTCTGAGACATGTCAGTGGGACTTAGCTCTGCCATACTTGTGACCTTCCTCTGTCAGAGTTCTTAGGGGCCAAAATGAGAGCAAGACCAGTCAGCTACACATAGGTTGAGGGTACAGTAGGATCAAGATGAAGACCTATAACTACATCTTTCTTCCCTGTCCAGCCCCAAAGATGTCTGCTTCCCCAGATATCTCCCTATTTTCAACCCCCTCCATCTCAGGTCCTCATTGGCCCTTTCTGTCTTAGATTCCTGAGAAAATTCAAGTACAATTGCCCCCTGATCCCCAGCCAAGGTAGCCAATTTTGTTACCCTCCCACTTAGAGTCAAGCCCCTTCCCTGAGTTTCTCAAGGGCCTCTTCCTGGGCCCCAAAAGAAGCCAAAACTCAGTGTTGGAACCTTCTCCTCAAATCAGATAACATGGAAGTATTTGGTAAGAACAGAGATTGGGCACCTAATCTGTCTTCATTTGGCCTCAGAAGAAACCAGATTCTGAGCTCAGGAGACAGACCAACCTTCAGAGCCCCTAGTCAGAGAATGACAGAACAAGGAGAATCCTTGTTCTTTTCATCTAACCCCCTTATTTACAAGTGAGGGAACTGGGACCAAGACAAAGGAAGTGACTCAAAAACCTTGTAAAATAGATTTTATACCCCGACTTACACACTTGTCACCAAGCAATAGAGACCCCTTTCTTACTGCCTCCAGCAAGGCTTCTGAAAGACTTCAGAAACTGGACCTTTTCTTGGCTATAACCCACCTGCCTTGACCCTACTCTAGCCCCTAGGAAGCCCAAGGCTAGAAGAGAGCTGGCCAGAACCCAAGGCAAAGCTGAGCAAAGCTGAACTTCAGAAACAGGGAAAAGCCTTCATGCCTTATCACCCAAAGTCAGCCCCAGGGCCTCCCTCACACATCCTGAGAACCAGCACATAGGGGAGTCTGCAAGCATACTACCTCAAAGAGGGGAGCCTGAGCCCTCTCACTGCAAGAATGTGGTAGGACCTGTCTGAGCAGATACAGGACCAGGGAGGGGCAGTAGGGGGTATTGGGGAGGAGTCAGCACAGTAAGAATAAGACACAAGATAGATGTGCTCTCCCTCTTCCCCCATCCTATCCACCCCTCAAAAAACTGTTGGGAAGAGTCTGGACTGAGTCCGTCCCCACCCCAAAGCTACTATGTTGGTCTTCAGCACTAAGGTAGCTCCTACCTAATTCCCTGCCCCACCCCAGGGTTCCCAGGAGGAAGGCCTCAGAGGAAGGGGTGTTCTGACAGGTAGCAGAAATTTATACCCTGTGCGCCCAGGCATACGAATACCAGGAAGTGTGCTATTTAAAGGAGCTAGCTTTGAGTCCCTTTGTTTACCAGGTGTCCCGGCAGATTGCCCCCTTCCCCAACATTTACATAAAAGCACCCTCCACTGCCTTCAGAGTCAGTCTCTAGTTCTTTCTCCTGTTTCCCATCCAAGGGCTTCTTCTTACCCCAAAGGCTGCAGCCTGGCTGTATATACGGTACAAGGACTTCTGTCACTTCCTGTCCTAAGCAGTCCAAGATTTGAGATGTCCGAATCGGAGGCAGGCTTTGTGCCTGGCTCTCATCTACCTCCCCCCAGGCCTTACGAAACCTAGAAATACCTAGTCAGCTCTGTACCCTCAGGCTCCAGTTCTGTGGCCCATGAATATTTTAGAAGCCTTTTCAGTTCTCTTGCACACTGGGGGAGGTGGAGGGACAGGGCCCAAGAACATCCAGCCGGAGGCCAGTGGAGAGCACTCAGCTCCACCCCCAGTGGCCTGTCATTTGTGACCCTGGCCCTGACCCCCAGAGTCTAAGCCTCTTTCTCCCCTGCCAGGGCAAACAAGAGGTGAGGGTCAAGTCTGTCAGGGCTTAATCTGATTCCCCTAAACTAGTTCTCCCTCCTCACCCACCCACCACACTCTCCTTGCCTACTTCCTCAGACCCATGGTCCAATCAGTCTTCTAGGGGGAGATCTAATTCAGTATTTCAGAACAAGCCTCTACTCACACATGATGCTGACCAGGCCAAGGAGCTAGTCAGGCTTTGGTTTCCTGGCCCCACAAAGGGAGCTTTCTTTGCTGTTACCAGGGCAGGTTTCTGATCCTAGCCACTATGGTCCCAGTGTGTGCCTAGGTTCCAGGCAGAGTCAGGGAGCCAAGCTCCAACCAGGATCATAGGAATGGGGGAGGGGTTGAGGGACCAGGCAAGTGAGAACCCCCCCCCAGGTCCCAGTTCCAACCCCCACAGAGACTGAGCTCTGCCCCCAGAAGCTCCTTTTCACCGAGGCCCCATCTTAAACCAACCTCTCTTTCCTGCCTGACTCAACAGAAAATCTAGCGATACCCCAGCCTGATAGAGCCACATTTCCTGGGGATAGAACTCATTCCCCCTCCTTATCTTCTCCTTGGTTCTTCTGGCCTACAAAGGATGAAGCAAAAGGACTAAAGCCCAGACAAACTGGGAGTACCTGGGATACCTCCTTTCCCCTACCTCACCCAGGTGGCCATGATGCTAATTCTTTCTCCCTTATGGGAGGAGGGGGTCATATTCCAGGACCCTGCCCCCAGGGAGACTCTGGGATGCCCAAGGGCAGAATTGGGGCAGGTAGGTGATGCAGCTGATAGGTCCTCCTGACTCCAGGGCCGGTGCTCTAAGTTTAAATTCGGCCTCAGACACATGATACTTCTTAGATGTGTGACCCTAGGCAAGTCACTTAATCCTGACTGCCTCACCACAAAAAAAGGCAGGATTGAGGTAGAGGGAGCAAGAAGATCCTTGACATCTTTGCTTTCTAAGTAGCTTCTTATGAGTAAGATTCTTATTTGTAAAAAGGAGAACCAAATAGGGGAGACAGGTATTAAGATACAATAGACTTCTGGACTCAGCAGATCTTTCTCCAACTGCTTCTTGGTTTCATTCTGTCTTATTTTCTTGTGTCTATCACCTAGGGCTCTATTCTTGGCCCCTTGGTCTTGGGGGTACAGGGGGAAGAGCCCTGAATCTGGAGTCACAGAACTGGTATCTGGCTACTTTCCACTTACACAGCTTCAGGAAAATCTGCCCCTCTTAAGAAAATCACTTGAATTCTCTGTAAAATCTAAGGTCCCTTCCAGTTCTACTCTACCCAGCAGGGCCTAAAGTCCATGAGGCTGAGCCCTTCTGCTCCCCTCTACCACTCCTATTGTCCCTACACGGCACCAGAGTCCTGAACCCCCTCCCTCAGTAACTTGTTGTGCCAGGCCTAACCTCAGTTTTATACTGCCTTATACCCAAGGGAGCTGTTGACACAGTGGACAGAGCACCAGACCTGGAGTTAGGAAGACTTGAGTTCAAATCCAATCTCTGACACATTAGTTGTGTGAGCCTTAACTTGTGTTTGCCTCAAGTTTCCTCAACTGTAAAATGAAGATAACAGCACCTACTTCTCAGGGTTGTAGTGAAAATTAAATGAGATAATATTTGTAAAAATTACTTAGTTCAGTGCACAGCACATAGTAAGTTCTATGAATGCTCAATCCCTTCCTTTCCCCATCTGCACCACAGTACAGATCACCTACTGTTGGTTCACAACGGTGGTCTGGCCTGATGCCCAGGGCAGTGTCCCTCCTTCCCAGGGGTAAACAAACTTTGCTCCTTACACTCTTTGGGGCTGAGAAAACTTTGTTTTACTTTATCTCTCCACCATACATACCTCAGCAGGTAAGTTATTAACTTATCAGTTCCTGCTCAGGGCCAGTCTAGCCACCCAGAACCAGGACTCCCTCACAAGGAAGTCTGGAACCCTGCTTCAGAAAACCCAAAGGCCCAGCAGCTTCCCCAGGGATGGCCCCACCCTCCGAGCAGGGCTGTGGTAACCATGGAGACTATACAGCTGGCCAGTTGATTGGGGGAAGGAGAGCCAGGCAAGGCCAGAACTTGTAGGCGCCCAATGGTCTGGGGAGAGAGGGAAATGACCTGGCACCAGGGCCTGGGCCCTCATTGGGTATGGTAAACCCAAGCCCAGCCCAGCCCTTGCCTTGAGGGCTCTTGCTCAGGAAGGGTGATTCCTGAGAACGGGAAGCCAGGAAAAGCTCAGGCAGTACCTTCAGTAGGTACCTGGACCCCAAACAAGTGACCCTGGCTTTTGATAGACATCCTCAGGGGATAGGCAAATGAGAAAGTGAGAACTACATCCCAACCTCTGGCCTGGGCTATGGCTCAGGAAAGGTTCAAAGGAAAAAGGGGATCTGTGTCGACTGAGAGGCTTCACAGGTGACTCAGGAAGGCTGGTCCTAGGGGGAGGGGGAAGTCCTATCACCCAAGCATCCAAAGAGAAGGGAGAAACACAGAGTTTCCTCGCTGAGGTTCCTACACCGCACACACAGACACACACGATGGGCAAGGAAAGGCAGTACAACATGAACACACATTATAAATATGTATATATATATATATATATACATACACATATATACGCGATGGGACACACACACACACACACACACACACACACACGACGGGCAGGGAGAGGCCCTGGGGATACACTTCCGTGCTGGCCAGAGGCTCCAGGTTAAGGGGCCCCAGCTGTGCCCCCACCCCTGGCCCCCGCGCCAGCCCCTCACCTCACCTCGGTAGGGCAGCGCAGCGCCCAGGCGCAGGTTCACAGTCCCGGTCAGCGGCTCCCCGGGACTGTAGATGACGCGGCTGTTGCTGAGGTGGATCTCAAAGAGCTGGACCTTCCCCATGGTCCTGCTCGATCTGGGACCTGGCACCTGGGACCTGGGACCCTGGCCCCGCGCTCAGGCCCTGGCCCGGCCCGTCCCGGCACCGTCTGCTCGGGCTTCTCCTGACTCCGGCTTCAGCTCCAGCAGCCAACAACGCCCGAACCCAGCCAAGTGCCCGCCCCTTAAAGGGCCGGGGTTGCCCCATCTCGTCCGTCCCGCCCCCTCCTAGGCCAGAAGAACTGGGGCGGGGACGGAGGCGGGGGCCGAGATCAGGAGGAAGGAACCCGGCCGGAGGAGGAGTCAAAGAAGCTCCACCCATTCGACCTCCCGACCTCGGGAGGTAATGTACCCATTTCTCTGAATGGTAAACTGAGGTTGGGATAATCCCATTTTTTTTTACCCCGCCCTTCTCTCTGATTCACTTTATTCTTGAAGGGAGAAGAAAAGTGCCCAGCCTCTGCAGGGCGGGGGTCTCCTTCACTATGTAAACATCGAGGTGCAGCAGTGAATAGAGCCCTGGACCTAGACTAAAGAAGACCTGAGTTCCAAACCCGCTACAGTCCTTTACTAGCTGTATGACCCTGGGCAAATCACTTAGCCTCTGTCTTCCTCAGTTTCGCCATACTTAAAATGGGAAATAGCACCCACTTCCCAAGGTTATTGTGAGGTCCAAATGAGATCACATTTGTAAAAGCTCTTTGCGAATTTTAAAGTGCCTTGTAAATGCTAGCTTTTAGTATTGTCATTACCCACTCTCCCCCTCCCCTACCCCCCAACTCTCCATTGTCTCCCTAACCCCGCCGCCTGACTTCCCAACCAGTTATGCGCTGCCTTCAGTCGGTCTTGGGATTATTTGCGTCTCGCCCCCTCCTCAGGTTTTTCTAGGCTCAGGAGAGGCGCTGTCAGTCCTTGGGCCAGAAGCCAAGTGGAGACCCCGAATGTGCTTTGATGGGTGCCAGCCACCTCAGGTCCGGCTTCTAGCCCACCTGGGCATCTAGCGAGAAGGGGCAAGTAAGCAGGAAGACTCTGGTTAAAGTTGGCCAAGGTCGCCACCTGCGGACTGTGCGGGGCAGCGCACCTGGGAAAGCGCTAGAACCACACCCTGTCCAGGCACTAGTCGTCTCTAGGTCCGCGGGGGGGTGGGGGGTGTTAGGGCTACTACAGCGTTGGCTTCTTGCTCCATGGTTCCCTCTGTTCCCAAGACGATGGAATCATGTGACTGGTCTGTGACCGATCACCTCTGAGGTAACTCTTACCAGGCTGCTGAATCATGGTAAGTTTCCTGCATTGTCTGTCCATGAAGAAGCCAACCTGAACGTGCCATGGACAGGGCACAGTCCCAGAACCAGTATTTCCGAAGAATCTAGTGCCCAACAGAGGCAGTAGCTAACTATGGCTGAGCTGCAGTCCAGAAGCATGAAGCTTCATTCCATTAAATTCAACAAACATTTAATAAAGCCCTACTTCATGCAAAGCACTGTGCTGGGTGCTGGAGATATGAAGACCAAAATGAGGAAATGAAATCTCCTTCAAGGAGATTTCAGTGCCAGGCTTGTTACAAATATTATCTTATTTGATCCTCACAACAATCCTGGGAGGTAGAGGTGTTATTATTATACCCATTTTACAATTGAGGAAAGTGAGACAGAGGTTAAGTGACTTACCCAGGGTCACACAACCAGTAAGTGAGTGAGGCTGTATTTAAACTCAAGTCTTTCTGACTCCAGACCTAGGGTTCTATCTACTGGACCCCCTTCAGAACTGAATGAAATGTGAAATTTCAGTTAGAGATTAGTAAACACAAAGATACAACTTTTTCCCCCTCTAATTTCACCAACTCCTTGAAATCTATCTATGGCATGAATAAGGTTAAGAACCTTTCTATATATATATATATATAATTCGATGTTTGCAGAACTGAGTCAGTAATTATACCTTATATATGACATCATACAAAGGCATTTCTAGAGGTAGAGAACACTCACAACTGGGGGAACAGGAAATGCTTCAGGTAGGAGGTGGCACCTAAGCTGAGTCTTGAATGAAGTCAGGAACTCTAAGGGACAAAGGTGAGGAGGAAAAAACATTCCAGCCATGAGGACCCACCAAAGTCAAACAAGATCCCTAGCAAAGGATGGAATGTCAAGTATGGGAACAGTGAGAAAGAGGGCAGTTTGTCTCCAATTGAGAGAGATCCTGGAGAGAAATATGCAAAAAGACTTGGAAAGGTAGATGACAGAAACTTGTTTTTGCTTCTATCTTGTATTGCTAGCATTTAATATAGTGCATTCAATAAATATTCATTGATTTCTTGATTGATTGTGGAGAGTCAAGCTGATAAATGTATATGTTATCCCAGAGGTCCTAGGAAACCATTGAAGACTCCTGAACAGAAGAGAGTCATACTTAGATCTCTGTTGCAGGATTATCAATTTGGCAGTTGGGTGAAGGATGGATTAGAAACAGGAGAGACTTGAAGCAAGAAGAACAATTTCATTTTTTAATTACATTTTAAAATTTATTTTCAAACAAAAATCAGCCTTTTCTCCCTCCCTCTTCCCTTTCCCTGCCCTTCACTGAGAAAGCAATAAAAACAAAACCTCTGTTAAAATATGTGTAGCCAAACAAAAATTTTTATATTGGCTATGTCTAAAAAATTGTATCTCAATCTGCACTCTGAGTCTATCATCTCTCTGCTAGGAGGTGGGCAGTGTGTTTCAACCTGAGTCATCTGGAATTGTGGCTGGTAATTGTGTTGATTATAGTTCCCAAGTTTTCTTGTTCACCCATTCCCCAATTTATGGGTAATCCCTCAGATTCCCATTCTTTGCTACCTCAGAAAGAGCTATAAATATTTTTGTGCATCCTTAGAATTTGTTTTGCTTAAAACTAATTCATCCCTTAATTTCTCCTCTCTCTAGTCCCTCCTTCTTCTCTGTTGAGTGAAATGTATTTCTGTACCCAAGTCTCTGTGCACGCGCGTGCATGTGTGCGTGTGTGTGTGTGTGTGTGTGTGTGTGTGTGTGTTCTTTCATCTTTTGACCAGGTCAGATGAGAGTGAGGGTCAAATATTCAAGCAGTTTAAGCTTCGAGCCTCCCCCCTTCAACACATACCTTGTTTGTATAGATGTCTTCTTGGGCTTCCTGATTATGTGAAAAAATTTTCTCCAACTTTCTTTTCCTTTCTCCTGACCCCCTCAGTATATTCCTCTTTCCCTCCCTTTCCACTCTTTTCTTAAGATCATCAAGATATATAACAAGACCATTTCTAGGTTTTGTCTAATTGGATTCTCTCTATGAACCCCAATGATGATAGGGATCAGAGGGGACATGTGTATCATCTCCCTGTGGTCGTAAGAGATCTGGGCTATTTAGTTTTAAGATTTCTTGAAATGAAAATGCTAAAGGAAAAAAATTGCAAAAGAAATGAGAGCTATGGAAGAAAGATTTGGTAAGGAAATTAACAACTTGGTGAAAGAGATATAAAACCTTGCCTAAGCAATGAACTCCCCCAAAATTAGAAGGGACAAAATTGAAGCCAATCACTTCATGAAGCAATAGGAATTATTACAACAAAGTAAAAAGGCTGAAAAATATAAGAAAATGTAAGGTATAGCAAAGACAGCTGACCTGAAAAACAAATTAAGGAGAAAAAATTTAAGAACCATTAGACTATCTGAACACCATGCCCAAAGAAAGAGCTAGCCTAGATGTTATATTTCAAGAAATCTTAAAAATAAATTGCCCAAATCTCTTAGACCCAGAGGGCAACGTGGAAATAGAAAGAATCCACCAGTCACCTCCTGAAAGAAATTCCAAAATGAAAACTATCATCAGAGCCAAAATCCAAAGCTGCCAGGTGAAAGAAAAAAAAATACTATAAAAAGAGAAAATTTAAGTAGTTATCCCTTCCACATTGCAACCTTCCCCATTGTGGTTCCAATATATTGCAGTTTGGCATAAGAAGTTAAATGGAATTTGGGGGGAGTTTTGCAGAAGCCACAGACGACATGTGAAGGCCAGAAGATGACACAGAAAAAGTTTAGAAACTCAGAAATGCATAAAATATATGTACAATATTGTGTAACATCAACATATTTTATCTTTCAATACCATAAACACCCCATAAAAGAAAAAGGAAAAATTCAGACTTCTTCTCTGGTACAAAGAAAGAGTCAAAAAATTTTACGAGGATTTTCTGGATTGTGGGGGCACTACACCTTTAATCCCTGTGATGTAGAAGGGATAACTGTACTGAGAAGCCACAGTCAGGATCACTCATAATTTAGCAGCCACCACCATAAAAGAATGGAAAACTTGGAATACAATATTCCAGAAGGCAAAGGATATGAGATTTCAGCCAAAAAATAACTTTCCCTAAAAAACTGAATATAATGCTATGGGGGAGGGGCTGGGAGAGGGACGGAATGCACCTTTAATGAAATAGAATACTTCTAAGCATTCTTGATGAAAAGTGCAGTACTTCAGAAAAACTTTGAAGTTCAAACACAAGAAGAGAAACAAAAAGATAAATATGAACAAACCATGATAAAGGACTAAGCAAGGATAAACTGCTTACTTTTAAATATGAAGAAATGATGTATGTGTCCCCTCTGAACCCTGACAAGATCTAGGAGGGGTTCTCTTATGTGATGATGATTTTTAAAGAACAGAGAAGGGAAAAAGAATACAATGGGGTGGGAAGGGAAGCGAAAGGAAAGTTAGAGAAAATTATGTCATAATTAGGGTGCACAAGTAGACATCTGTGCAAACAAGGCAGGAGGGTGGAGAGAGTGGGCTGACACTTGAAACTCACTCTCATCTGAACTTGTCAAAAGAAGGAAGAGTACACACACACACACACACACACACACACACACACACAGAGGTACAGAAATACATTTCACTCACCAGGGAAATAGCAGGGAATAGGGAGAAGGGGGAGAGGGAATTTAGAGGTAAACTAGAGTAAGGGATGGATTAGTCTTAAGCAAAACACAGCCTAAGAATGTACACAAATACTTAGAGCTCTTTTGAGGTAGCAAAGAATAGGAATTTGAGGGGGTGCCTCTAAAATGTGGAATGGATGAACAAGTTACAGTATATTGAGATAAGTGAAAAGCCAAGAGACAGAGTTTCTGGGTAATTAA